ACCGAGGAGGACAAGGCAATCATCCGACGTGATGTTGAAAGCCGAAAGAGGAAAGCAAAGTCATCCAAAGACGTCGAAGGCGAGGACTACATGGGTGTGGATGATGAAGATATTGAACTTCCCGAAGAAGAGCCGGAACTAGGAGGTAAGGTACCACCTCACTCTCCGAGAGCCAAAGATAGACCACAATCGTCAGACTCTGCAAAATGAGGAATACGCGAAAGCGGTCGAGGCAACCAAGAAGGCCTTTGGGAACGCCAGCTTCGTCACCAGATTCAAAGAGCCCGTCGACCTCTTTGACATTGCCGATGACAAAGAAGGAGGAGAGTACAGGGTCGCAAATCACAGGGTTGATAGATCAGGTCCTGATGGAAAGAGGGAACTTGATGCACTTATTCAGGAGGCTGCAGCACTCGGAATAAAGATGCCCAAAGTGAAGGACCTTGCTCCTGACCCACAACAAGTTCAAAAGGCTGGATATCGGCCGATTGAGGTGACTTGCGATAGAGGAAACATTGAGATAATTCCACAGTATGGAGTTACATTCTATGTGGAGTACTGGAATGGACCGAAGAGAGATGCAACTTTCACGGATCCACCAAAGATGAACCCAGCAATTCGCATCGACAAGCTCAGCGAGGAGAGTCAGTGGGTCAACGAGATTAGCCATAGACTCAATAGACTACTCAGGCATGGAGTGGGAAAGCATAATGGGATTCAATCGCACCGCGGTCGAAAACCTCATGTGTCCCCGAAGTGCAATGAGGGTGGATGGGTGAACATCGTGAGATCCTGGAATATGATCATGTCTTCAACGATGGTGTCAATATCAGTACTATCTCAGGTACTCAACGTGAGCAAGATACCAAGACAGAGCGATACCAGTATTTATGCAAGGCGATGTGGCATGCAAAGAAGTTGCAGAACAGAGTACGCTATCAGATTGCCGCCATTCGCATCTCAAAGGAGGATGTCTCACTCGAAGAGGAAAGGCAATACTGGGCAAACCTCATGTTTTACGGCACAGACGCACCGTCATTTCTGAAGCATGAACGTTGGATCGTTCCTTGTGCAATTCGAGCTGTTGCCTCTCACAATTCTGGAAGAGAGACTGTTGTTGAAGAGGATGTGTCAATATATCCTGTGTGGACTTCACATCTCATCCCAGAGAATGTGGCAATGCAGCTTGGAGGAAGCTTTCACATGACATCGCTTTCCAATATTGAGTCAATCATGAAACTAGGAATTGTCCCTGGTGGAACGGATGGATATAGAGGTAGTGTTTTCTTCAACCACTTTGCGCCGTGGGATGATCGATCATCAAAGATTCTGAGATCAAGATGGCCAAGAGGGGGAATGCCCGTCTGCCTTTATGTTCCAATCATGACTTTGAGGAAGCTTGGGGGAAGAATTTCGGAGAATTCCTACACTGTTGTTTTTAGAGAAGTTCCATGGAGATGTGTACGAGGTGCTTGGTATTGGGACGACCACGGTCAGGCATGGAGGAGACTCCTGCTGGGAAGCACTGGAGAGCAAGTTGTTCTAGCGGCACGTCATGGACTTTGGGTTGCTCAGAAGCATACCATCCTCGAGAGAGCCGACGAAGTCACGAAGTCAGCCTCGGCGACAGATGACAACGTCCAAAAGCTCGTGTCCCTTATCGATGAAGTGCAATTCGATGGCAATGGAGAGCTGATCGAGGATTCCATCAGTGAGGAAACTTGGGACGAAATCATCTCCAGAACATGTGAAGGGTATCGCAACGTGGATGGCAATATTTTGTGTCCATCATGTATGCATTTGACTTCTTCATCTTTGTCCGTGTGTCTATCTTGTCAAGGCAGGCTACTCTCGTGTGGTATTCGCAACACTGTCATTTCCGATTCACCCGTTGATCTTGTGAGCGACGATGAAGAGGAAAAGAAGGAAGAGAAGAAGCCTGAACATGATGATCAAGATATATTGGACCAGGCCACTATGGACGAGATCAGAAAGGCTTGGGAAGAAGACATCGCTCAAACTGAAGCAGCTGATGACGACGAGGACATGGATAATCCAGATCCTTCCAAACCGTCTGATGGTGCAGAGAACTTCAAGAGTGACAATGTCGAGACCCCGTCTTTCAATGAGGACGAGATCGACTACGGTCGTGACTCTGATCTAGAAGATGAAGACGAACGAAACGTGATCATCGAGATCCAGAGGAGCACACAACAATATGAGGGGAAGAAACGTCAAGATGGTGAGCCCGAGGATGAAGACGTCACCGACGACTTACATCCGGAGGCGAATCGACCGACAGATCGTGATGAACCGGGATACTATGCACAGCATGGAGCGACCGAGTTCAATCCCGAAGAAGGAAGAGACAACGAAGATCTCCCCATCTATTGTCGAGTACCGGAACCTCGAATCTATGCGCATCAAGAGAGAGCCTACTGTCAGGACGTCTCCATGAATGCATCGGGTTTGATGGATAGGTATGTGGTCAAATGTGTGCTGAACATGATCTCCCTGATGTACAAGAGCTACTATTGCACCAGCCTTACCGACTTCAAAGCAAATTGGAAAAGGAAGCGTCTGGATGTGATAAGCAAGTTCGGTACAGGAGATTCCACTGAAATCGATGACGATGAGAGACCATTGGATCCAACAGATGACATGATGTTAAACTTTGCCAACGACAACAATATTACAACTGAGGAGGCCTGGCACCGATTCAGAGGAGAGCAATTCATTTGCAAGGTAGCACTCATGATCCTATCATTTGGTCATACTCCGAAATCCTTCAAGGAGGAATATGGCAACTTCGAATACTCCACCAACTTGACTGATGCCCAGCTTGAGGAGTTGAAAGCGAAGAAAGCCAGCGCAATGACTGAATTGGTACAGAAGTGCATCCATGCGATTTATGGGTGTCGGACATATTCTTACTTTAGAACCGACATTACATCACCCTACCACAAGGTGATCGATCCTCTGGACATCATGTACTCGAGAATGAAGAACAAGTGGGAGAAGTCTATTCTGTTGATCATTAATCAACATGAGATCAGGTTGCCCCCACAAGCTCAGGAAGTCATAGAGTCAATGGCCAGAAACCCCAACGTTGGACATACAGAGAGATGGATGAGCGTGATAGAACATAAGCATGTTCAAGCTCTTACCAATCGTCTAGGCTTTGGAGATAGGGCCAAGGAGATTCAGGGCAAGAAGAAGCAGGCAGCCAAGGCAACAGCTAAGTCAACATCAACGACTAAGTCTGAAGCGAAAACAGCATCTTCGTCAAGAGCTGAGGCAAAGCCAGCATCTACGCCCAGAACCGAGGCCAAGCCGTCGTCAGCACCAAGTGAGGAGCCAAAACCTTCAACAGCACCCAAGAGTTTCGGGCCCTCATCAGCAGAGGAGAACAAGGTGAAGGCTGCTCCAAAAGCCAGACCACATGATAAATCACCATCCAGTGCTACCGATGTGTTCGAGCAAGCTTTGCAGGAAGATCTTGCCGCCAACACACATGCAGCAGAAGGTACAACTTCTTCATCATCCCGAGGACATTCCAAAGGAGGAGGCCAATCTGGAACATCTTGGAGGCCGGCGCTAACGCAAGAGCGTCGCGAAGTACCTCAACCTTCTGAGAAGGGAAAGGGAAAGAGCAAGTCCAAGGGAAAGTCCAAGAAGGGAGAAGATGATCGGTGGGATGCTCAGGGCAGCTGGGATCATCGTGGATGGAGAGGTTATCACCAGTGGTGATTTCTTTGAACGACTATGAGGATACCATGCAAGCCAGGGAGGAAGTCATTCACCGGATGTCTATCTGACCTGGAACGCTGTAAGTGTATCATTGCAAATCGTCAATTTGATTTGATACCATGAGCATAATGGAAGGAAGACAATCACCGACTGTCTCTCCGACTTGCCGTTCTGTAAGTGTATCCAAACCAAAACCTACATCTTTTGAGAAGTGTGAAGTCAGTTGCCGATGTGACATCTACGTGGAAGTCACCAGTTCGGATCTACATCAAAGCGATGCTCTTTTGAGTGGATACTGAGCGAGGCCTCGTGACTGTCTCACTTGTTCAATTCGATTTTTTTTTCAAAGGTTCTGAGCCATAGTTGCACACTTTATATGTAAAAGTCCGCTTTAGTCCAGCATGTTTCGTAGTATGAGCCTCATATGAGTCTCGCGGCAAATCATACAATTTCTTTGTAGCACTTGCATCCCTAATTTTCGTGTGTGATCGGAACATATTGTTGCCGTTCACATGGGGGGTGCGAATGGAAGTGCAGCGACGTGTACAGTGCAACATGTACATATATATATATACCATATGTACTTTGGCTCAAGGATCAAGCGACTAGAAAAGGTGCGGTTTCCGTTCCGACGCTACGCCGCTTATGGACCGTCAGTGATCGCTTCAAACTTCGCTGATTAAGATCCACTCGCATAATATGACTATATGCATACACGAGTTGGTTGCCATGACCTGCGCTCAGCATACATGCTCATGCGAAAACCATTACAATTGTGGTTTCTGTAAGAACCACTACAATTGTGAGTTCTTCTGTAGATGTGTGAAACATTGTGCAGTACTTTAGTGGGAAACGGCGGGCAGCAAGAAACAACCAAAACACCAACAGGGTGCTAGTGAGAGCAAAACGCAAAGGCCATGCATCAAAGCTGGCCCAAGCATGGTTCCGCACAAGCATAGGAGTATTGACGAGAAAAGTACAGGAGAATCAATCAAAACATCTATATTCATCATAGTCTATATATATATATATATTCAACATTACACATGTTTTGTTGGCCTGCTGAAAGCGGTTCGCAAGACATGGTTGCGTTGGTGTCGAAGTCAGGCGTTAGAGTTTGGCATCCAATCCTCTTTGCACAAAAGATTTGCATTGGTATGTGCACTCACCAGACCCCTGAATGCCAGCCTTTAATTAATACTATCCCTGTTTCATCACTGGATGTATGCTGCTTCCTGGCAACGCGTGAGGTGAACGTTCGAATGCAGCCCTTGAAACGTCATCAGGTGCGCTGCACAAGCAACTGAAAGAATACACATCCAGCGCATACAGGGCTACCAAGAAAATGATTAAAACATACTAAAATATACATTTTACACGTTGCTGTTCCACAGCTGTTCTGGTTCTTCCAAGAGTTTGTGGCTCTGCAGTGGCTCAAGGCTGTGAGAAATGGCGGGATGGCAGATCATCACGCCGCTGAGGCGCTGCTCATGGCCGAGATTGGAGCCGATGCCATGCAGGAGTTGAAGCCTTACTACTCTGCACTTGTGGGGGTCGCAGACCTTGCTCTCAGCACTGGAGGACCTCACTTCAGATCTTTGCTGCGGCACGTGGGGGTCTTAGCTTCGAAAGTGGCAGCTTTGGAGGGCGGAGTCACGCAATGGCGGGCGGTGTCTCAAGATGGTCAGTTGCAGCTGGCGAAGGCCTCTGCGCAGTTGGCTGCTGCCAGGCAAAGCGCCGAGTCTGAGCGCACCCGTGCGGAGGTTTTGCAATCTCAGTTGGTGGCAGTTATGCGTGACCGTGAGGCCAACAAAGTGGTGGCCCAAACCAATGCACAGTGGTTGCAAGTGGAAGCCCAGAAGGCAAACCTTGAACTGAAACGAAGTCATTCTGAGGTTCTTGCTCTTCAGGAAGAGGTTCGAAGATTGCGTATCGAGTTGGAAGTCACTTCGAGCAAACAGCGGCAACAAGAGGCACACTTGGAGGCGGAACGTTTGAGGGCCGCCGGAGCAGATTTGAGTGCTGAGCATGCTGAAAAGGGCAAGGCTCGCCTTGAAGCTGCATTGAAGCGTGCGGATGAAGAACAACGAGAAAATGTGGAAACCTTGACAGCCCAAGTACAGCAGCAGAAGCAGAGGTTGGAACGACGCTTGGAGGCTGAACGGAATGAAGCGATTCAAAACCGTCAGGTCATGTCTAATTTGGAATCAACGGTGGCAGAGATTCGATCAGTCATGCCCAGTCTGTTGGAGGCGGCGGACTTCTTGCGTGATCCCCATAGCCCTGCGTTGAAGATGGCTCGGGGGCCTGTGCTTCTCTCTGTGAATTCTTCTGTTCGAATCCCTGTCTTGGCATTGAGGTGGGCCCCAAAGTTAGGGCTCAACTCCACGCCGGGCTGGGCGGCACTGCGGGAGGGTTTATTTGCTCTTTTTCATCAATTGCAGACTGGTGCCATGGTGCCCGAGCAAGTTGAGCTACGTGTTTGTGAGGCTGGAGGGCGATGGTTTTGTTGTGAGGAACAGGATACTGGCCCTTTTGCGGCGCTCCTGATGTTCCAAGCCCTGCACCGCGATGCACCAATTTCAGCAACATGCCGCATGAGCACCAAAGTCATGTTGCCGGCCGAGGAGCTTGAGAAGCACAGTGGCCTCAGTGTTTTGAGTACTGCAGCCATGTGGCGAACCCCTCCGCAGCATGAGGAAGATTTTCTTCGTGCCTTGCTGGTTGGCTCAAGTCTCGAAGAGGTTTTCAGGGACTTTCTCTACCACCAGCGGCGAGGTCGAGTCGAAGATGCCTTTGAGGAGGAGCTAAAGCGGGATGGTGTGATGGGCCGCCGTCGAGGTGAGCTGCTTGGAAGAGAAGCAAGCATGGTAGAGACTCCTCTTCAGCAGGCTCCGGTGGCTTCAGCGACTCCAGTAGCTCCAAGCTTCTCGAGTGCCCCACCTGCCCGTGGTGTTTTTGCCACTACAGCTCAAGCAGCGGCTGCGGCCGCTGCGCAGGCCGCACAAAGCGCGGCTTCGCGCGGGCGCTCGGGCGTCAAGCCAACGCCAATTTGAGGAGAAAAAGACTCCAAGTGAAGACTTGATTGAGGTGTTCAGGAGACCAGTGGTGTTTGGTTGAAATGAGGAGCTGACAGCAGCACCAAGTTGCGAGAAGATGTGCGAATGGTTCCTGGTGTTCTGCATGAATAGGTGTGTTTTTGGCTTCCACAATCCGCGAGTCATCTCAACACACATTGACGTGCGCACATCGCAAGCCAGGTGTCTTTGCGGGTTCTTGAAGAAACGAGCATGAAAGTGGAGAAGCTGCAGCCTGGCACGGTCATTCATGACCGATGGAGATCTTTAAATATAGTATAGATTAGAATGTCGCAACTGGCCACAACTCCATGAGGTCCATTCTGGTGTGAGAACTTTGAGTATGCCATGTCTCGATTTGCCCAAAACTCCACTGAGACAAACTGCATTCTGAATGTCGGCTGTTAGCATCTATTAGCTGTTTCCAAGGTCAGATTGATTCATGTCATTCCCCCCCCAACAGGATATGTTGATTCGTTGCTTTTTCTCCCTCCATTTCAATTGAGGCAAGATGCGCTCAAGCTGTTGCCGATCGACCAGGCATTGCTTCACTCCGAGGAGGCGCTTAAAGCCGCAGAGGCCATGGCGAGCGCGGCCATTTCTTCGGTGATCCAAGGGCCAAACAGGATCGAGCAGCATCAAACCGGAAGCGTTCTCGGAAACTCCGTGCTTTTGTCATGATCTCAGAACGCTGCGCGTGGTGCCACTGGGCAGATGTCGCTCTTGGATGGCTACAAGGTTGGGCTTGAAGAGAGGATTATTCATTATTCTTTTGAATTGCTGATGAAGGTTGCGGGGTCAACAAGCCTTGGGGCAGGCTTTGCAAGACAACCACCTCGAACTTGGGATGATATCCAACCTGGGTGCACACATACAACTCCGCTCGTGTTTCATGTTCCTTCACCCGAAAGCCTACGAGGCTTTGTCACCTACAAAATGAAAGGTTTGGATAGAGACCTCCTCTACTACTGTAGGTAGTAGCCCTAATGCGTTGCAGACTACCAGAAGGCGTGGCGGGCTGCCTGCCCGCCGTGTTTCCTAATGCTTGTAAAATCATCTTAGAACTCTTACTCTACACACTGAAGTGCCACAGGATCACAATTCCTGCTTGCCCACAACGTGTCCTACTGTTGTTCTTGATCTACATAAGAACCTTTACCCTTTACTCTACATCCGCCCACAGTGTTTACTAAAATTATTTTGCATTATCTTGAAAACTTTTACACACATTGAAGCCCCACTCCTGTGTGCACGCAGGTAAGTCGACTTCTTGTAATGGGTATTGTCCGTGTGAGAGAGGAGGGAGAGAGGAGAGACGATCGCATGTGGATCCCACCGTGTGTTGGAGTTGGGATGAGCTTGAACGCTTGCTTGGTTTATAGTTAGATGCATATTTGCAGGCACATTCTTGGTTTTGCACTGTTTGATGATCACTCACGTGTCTTTGCCAGTATATAGATATCTTTACATAGAGACCGTAGAAAGACGCCCACACTTCCCATCTGTGGGACGTCAGGTGCAAAGCAGCCTAGATCAACTCTTCACAGCCATGGAAGCGTTGGTTCGACGGCGAAATCAAGATGTGCAGCTTGTAAATGGCTACCTGAGAACCTTGGCGATCAAAGGCTGGGACATGGGTGGGTGCTTCATTACTTGTGGATGCAGAGAGGGAAGGCAGCAGGTGTTATTCCAGGTTGAGAATCGATACCTTGCGCGCATGTGACAGCGATGTTTGCATGGTCAGCCATGCGTTGCCGAAGGTCGTGTTCTGAGACAACTGCCTAGGAGAGGTCTATCAACGGATTGAGAGAGACCTCCCTTCGGACAAAGGCCAAAGCAGCTTGGCCGCAAGATGCATGCGGAATTTCCCGCCGCTTGCTTCTTATGTGGAGAGAGCGAGAGAGAGAGAGAGAGAGACACACACACACACTCAAGATATTGCTTACTGACCCGATTGCGGTTTGCCACTCGCCAACCTAGGTACCCATAATATTCCTGAGAAAGCATGTACGGGGTTCTAAACGTCCTGGAGGTCTTGTGGAAAGGAAGGAGGCCAAAAGTGCTCCAAATCACAAAATCCAGCTCCGGCATGCGCGGCCGACAAAGTGACGACAAGCGCTCAAGTCTGCAATTGCGTTAGCCCTTCAGTGAAAAGTGGAGGGCAGCTTGCAAACACCACAACTCAGTAGGTACGTGAAAGTGGCGTCCACTTTCAGATCCTCAGGTACATTGCTAGCTTCGGCGACAATGTACCCTGCCTGGTCCCCTGCTCAAAAAGTTACTACTTCAACGGAAGCCCTATGACTCCAAGGCCTTCACACACTTAGATTGTTGCTCGCAAGAGCTGAGTCAGTTGACGAAGTTCCACTTTACTGCAGGTAGACCTTGACTTGATTCAACCGCAAGAAGTGCTGGGTCAGAAGAACTGAAGGTTTTATCATGGGTGAAACGATGGAAGCCCGTTAGCACTTTAGAAAGGGTTTTAAAAAGGCCTGCAGGTACGTGATTCCGGCGTCCCAGTGTCATTTCACAGGAGATCCATGGTGTCTTCGTTGGATGCCGACCATGGAAATCCCCGGCATCCCCCTGCATCCTTTTTTCTATGTTTGTTTTATTTTTGATCCCGAAGGGAAAATTTAAATGCAACGTATGGAAACCTTGGAAACAGGTGGTGACACACACAGAGAGCCGATATCGGCGCTCAAGAAATTTACTAGCCACCTAACAAGCCTTAGAAAGAAAAACAAGGAAAACACAGAAAGAGCAAACGAAGAGGGCAAGAGAGAAAGATAGGAGTAGTTACGAGGCCCACTAGCTATGAAACCTTCTAGTTACTGACTACTTAGCCGAATGAATTAGGTGCACTAGTTAGGGAGCGGGACTTTAGTCTTAGACCGCCCGGGTAGGAAAGACTAGGACAGGAGAAACAGAAGGAAAGGCACCAACCCACAAGTGTGTTGAGTGCGATTTCCTTCTGTTACCCAAAATCAGATCGGGTGGGATAGGAAGTGCGAATTCACGTGGGAGGGAAGGGTCGAGCCCGAGAAGTTCCTGTGTCTTCCCATGTCTGACCAATTATATCAGGGATGATAGGGAGAAGGATTGCGGATTGCGCCTAAAAAGACTGGGACGAGAATTGAATGCTCACAGCCTTAAATATACAATAGATGGCGCAACCCCCTTTTTCCCAAGACCGTCGGATCATCGGACCATGCATCAGATCATGGCCTTGGTCTGTTGTTCCCTTTACCCGGGGAGACACAGGGAGCTTCGATGTTGCCCTTTTGGCCGCGGTGGCCGTACCCGCACAGTCAGCGAAGGTAGATGGCGCAATTCGACGTGCCAAGCAAGACACTGTTGCCCGCAGCTAGACACGGTGTCTCTCCCAATAAGGGAATGAACTTCTCCCGCGACGGATTGGAACTCCCCCGGTGTGTCACCGGTGAACCGGCATCCCCCTGCCTCCTTTTTTTAAGTTTCTTTTTATCCCGCGGGGACAAATTAAAATGCAACGCGTGGAAACCTTGGAAACAGGTGGTGACACACACGCTCTGACATTGGCTTTCAGTTAACAAAATTCCCAGGGAAACATGGCGATGGAACCGAAAGGCGAGAGAGTCGGCGCAATTGTATTGTTTAACAAAAGGTTGTTCGCACATCTGCAGCTCACGAAACGGCGGTTTAAACAGTTATTAAACTTGCAGGTACGTTTACACGGGTCCCAGAGGAGGTCTTCGTTGGCCACCGCTCCTCTCAGACCCGGTGGCCCCCTGCATTCAAAACTCTTAGTTACAGAGGTTGACGCACACACGATGCGGCTTGCGGCGCTCGCACGGAGGACCTGAATAGGTACCTAAAAAGCCTTAGAAACAAAAGAAAGAAAACCAGAAAGAGCAGCGCTAAGAGGGCAAGAGAGAAATTCAAGGTAGGAGTAGACAGAAGTGAATACTTAGCCCTTGACTGGGGTAGGGAAACGAGCCTCAAGAACAACCGAAAAAGCCTGAGAGAAAGCCCAAGAAACGACCAAAAGCGGCAGGGAAGTGTATGTACATGTGTGTGTGTGTCCGTGTGTGTGTGTCACACCCTGTTTCTAAGGGTTTTTCAATCGCTTCACAAGCAGGGGGTCGCTGGGGATTCGTGCAGTCAGCGACCAACGAAGACGCTGCACGTTTCCCGTGATATGAGTTGAGGACGCTCGACTCACGTACCTGCCACATGTTTGAACTTTTGCCCACGCTGTTCCAATCTCTCTTGTCTCTTGTTTGTTTCCATGGTTGTTCATAATACTTCCCCCAAACCATTTCCTCCCCAGCAGAGGTGCAGCTTGAACCGCTTTGTCACCGCAGTCAACGGAAACAACTGATGTTAAAACACCTACAATTTCTCGGACTTTTCGCCATACTGTTCCACCGCCATCCTTCCCATCGTGGCAATTCCCTGAGTCTGCAGATCAACTAAATTTAGTTTTTGGATGAAATCAATGTAATTGAAAAAACTAGTTGGTTTCCTACTAAATTTTTGAAAAACTAATTTTTCATTGTAAATTTCAACAAAGTCAAAACAACATATAAACAACATAGAAACAGCATAGAAACAACATATAAACAACATAGAAACAGCATAGAAACAACATATAAACAACATAGAAACAGCATAGAAACAACATATAAACAACATAGAAGCAGCATAGAAACAACATAGAAACAACCGCAACAGTCAACACAAAAACACCACAGAAACACACAAAACATTGGCTGGGAAGTTACACATGAAGTTGGTTTTCACAGGTAACAGACAAGAATGGTTTCCGTCACCGTCGCCTCAAATTACTTGAGAAGTGTTGCAGTATATATTTCAAAAAAATTGAGAAGTCAGTTTACTTGAGAGAGGAGCTTGTCACAACCAATTTACTCGTCTGCCTTGAGAGAAGCCAGGGGTGATATACTTGAGAAGTGTTGTTTGATCTACTTGAGGAAAGGTGTGGGAGCACTTGGTGTTGCTGTGTTTAGTTGAGAAAACTCGAATATTTTTATTGGTGTACTTTCACCAAGTTACTTGAGAAGCGTTGCGAAAAATTTACTGGAGATCAGGTACAGCTCTTTTTACTTGAGAGAGGTCTTGTGGGGTTATCGAGGTTGCTATCTTGAGGCGAGAAAATGATACATGTAAATGGTCATCTTGACAAGAACTGTTCACAAGTAAATTGCAGTCTTTGCATTTGAGCTGTTCACAAGTAAATGACAATCTTGCGAAAACACCTGGTCACGAGTAAGTCTAAGTGGCAGTCTTGGCAGTTGAGCTGTTTCACAAGTAGATGACCATCAACGCTCACAGGTAAACTACAATCTGGACAGAAGAACTGTCCAAAAGTAAATTGCAATATTGGCACAAGACCTGGCCACAAGTAGTTCTTTTCACAAAGCAAATGGCTCACAAGTACATGGCAATATTGACAATAGTGGGCTTATGAAAAGTGCAATCCACAAACCTCACAACAGTGCCTTGAGCAAGTGGCATCCACAAAACAGTAAATGATGTCTCAAGTAAAGTGAGCATAGCTTTCCGAAAACATATACGAATGCCAAAAAAAGTCGTACACAGTCCAGCGCCCAAAGCCATTGTGCAATTTGACTGCAAGGAAATACAGAAGGTGGTTCACAAGTAAAAACAGCTTCACAAGTAAATGTATCCAGAGTCTAATGAACTCACAAGTGCAGCATCAGCATGTCCAGAATATAACATGGAGATAACAAAGTTGAATATGTGTGTATACTGTTGATGTGCGTTTGTTGATTTTCTGCTCATTTTTCTATGTACTTTTTATGCAGTTTGTACGCAGTTTGTATGTAGTTTATATGCAGTTTTGAAAACTACATGTAGTTTTATCAAAACTACATGTAGTTTTATCAAAACTACATGTAGTTTTCAAAACTGCATGTAAACTGCATATAAACTACATATAAACTGCATACAAACTGTATATAGTTGTTGAAGTTCTTTTTGCACATTTTACCTACGAATGCAGTGGCATGTAACAGTACTCTTGAGCAAATTCTTACATAACTGTTCAACATTTACTTGAGAGCAGTTCTCCAATAATAGAATTCCTATGAATAATTTCATTTACTTGTGAGCAGTTCTTGTTGTGAAGATGCGCATTTGCTTGTGAACAGGTCTTGAGTGTCATTTACTTGTCAGATGTTCTTGTTTTGGACATGTGTAATTTCTTGTGGCTTGTTCTTCAGTAACTTCTGTCATTAACTGGTGGGCAGTTCTTGTGAACAGTACATTGAGCGCCATCTTCAATCTTCCTACAACTTTCTGCGGCTTTTTGTTTTGATGTGAGTGATCCACTGCGCTCATGGCTGATGGAATGCCAAATGAACCTATGGTGGCCCAAACACCAGCAAAGTCAGAGAAAGATAGTGAGAAGCCTTCTGCCACTCCTGGTTCAGTCCTGAAGAAATCATCAACAAAGGCAAAAGCTGCTCCCAAGACTGCGCCCAAGGAAAAGGCAAAGAACAAGGTTATCAAGAAGTCAACTGTGTCCAAGCCCAAGCCACCCAAATCAGTGCCAAAACCCTTCAAGCGACCTTCAGGACAAGAACAAACCTGGCAAAGCTGGAAGGTGGGCATTGTGCCTGTGCCTGAGGAGAAGGACAAAGAGGAGGAAGCATAAGAAGAGAATGAGAAGGAGGAGGACCCAGAAGTAGACCCAGAGAAGAGCAAGAGTGCAGAGACCAGAGACCAAGTCAAGCAACAGAAGTTCACGCAGATGTTTGCTGCCGGTGAGATCCCAGAGTGGATTGCAAGGGAGTGGGGGAGCACAAAGAAGTTCAAACATGGCAAAAGAGACAAGCAAACCCTGATTGTCAACAGCCTGTTTGATAGACAGGGGGAGGTTGATCATGAACACAGACAAGGCGGTTTTCAAGAACATGCGACATGTGACATGAGTCAAGTGAACAAATTTGGAGAAATCATTCTTGCAAAAACTTAAACACAGCCAACAACCACAACAAAACAACAAAAACAAAACAGCGCAGAAATAACAGAAACCCCGCAAAAAACAACATATGACAACACATGCTTCAATTACTTAAGAATTATTTGTCTTACTAATTTAGATTACTTGTCTTACTAATTTAAATTACTTGTCTTACTAATTTAAATTACTTGTCTTACTAAAAATTTACTATGGTAAAAAATACTTTGCTTTTTTACTTAATTTTTTTACTTTACTAGTTGAAATTAAGTAAATTTTTGGCAAACTAAATTTAGTTGATCTGCAGACTCAGGGTTGAGTTAATTGAAAACCAGTGTCAGAGTGTGAGCCGCTCAGTCTTCCCACTTGGGTGCTGGGTGTGACCCTCCGAAAGGAGGCGCCGTTACCATTCTGGAAAGCACAGGGGTTTGCGTTTATAACTGACTTCCTGTTCTTCTTTTCTGTAACTGAATTAACGGAACTTTGAGCCGCCGGGCTATAAACGACGGAATCCATCACTCGTACTGCACGTTCATGCGTCACACGTCGTTCCCGCATTTTTCCCAAACGTTTAAACCGCAGCCATTTGCTCAGCTTTGACACGTACCTCGAGATTTCACACGGCATTTCATTTCATAGGTTTACCTCACCTTTCCATAGCAGACGATCCACTTGATCTCAAAAGGTCCGGTTTTCCACTGATCTGCATTCGCGCCGAGTTCGGCTTGTTGTGTGTGTCACACCCTGTTTCTAAGGGTTTTTCAATCGCTTCACAAGCAGGGGGTCGCTGAGGATTCGTGCAGTCAGCGACCAACGAAGACGCTGCACGTTTCCCGTGATATGAGTTGAGGACGCTCGACTCACGTACCTGCCACAGGTTTGAACTTTTGCCCACGCTGTTCCAATCTCTCTTGTTTGTTTCCATGGTTGTTCATACGGTTCATAATACTTCCCCCAAACCATTTTCTCCCCAGCAGAGGTGCAGCTTGAACCGCTTTGTCACCGCAGTCAAGGGAAACAACTGATGTTAAAACACCTACAATTTCTCGGACTTTTCGCCATACTGTTCCACCGCCATCCTTCCCATCGTGGCAATTGAGTTAACTGAAAACCAGTGTCAGAGTGTGTATGACTACCTGGCACTGAATACTTAGCCGAATGAATTAGGCGCACTACTTAGGGAGCGGGACTTTAGTCTTACACCGCCTGGGTAGAGTAGACTAGAAAAGAGACAACAGAGGGAAAGGCGCCGAGTAGCATTTCCCTCTGTTACCCTAATAGAGGGAGGGGTTGGGGTGTTTGGGGTAGAGAACACGTCGGAGTTTATTCTCCGTTTGCCCGGCGGCTTGGAAGGGGTATCGTGGGCCCGACGGCATCGTGCTTTGAGAATCCTGAAGTGAGGCCAACTCATTGAGGAGAATCGAACGCATGGAGGAACAGTGGAATTCGCTATGACATTGGCTTTCAGTTAACTCAATTCCCAGGGAAAAATGGCGATGGAACCGAAAAAGGTGAGAGAGTCGGCGCAATTGTTTTGTTTAACAAAAGGTTGTTCGCACATCTGCAGCTCACGAAACGGCG